CAAATGAACCATAACTTGTAAACAAAGCCACGAGGCTGACGATCATTGCTCCCATTGGATAAAAAGGACGGGGGCGGGACTGAGCCACAGACCCAGAAAAAAAAACATGGAGGTTCTGCATTCTGCGGTTCTGATGCGCACATTTTTTACTGATAGTACAACTGCAATAGCATTTAAAATGTCAAAAGCAGCTAATTTAATGGTGGTTTCGTGATGATATTCTAATTTGGGAGCAAAGTCACGTAAATATGTCCCGCGACCCAAAGGAGAAGAGGTGCTCTGCGTGTTCTGACCCRCAACATACTGCCAGTAGAGCTGCTAACAGGAGAYRATGAAACAGGTATGATTTCAGTTTATTTAGCTCAGCAACAGTGGCCTGTGAAGTCCAAAAAAGGCGCATGTTTAATGCAGTTACTTCAGTTCGAGTCCAACACCAGAAGCGAACTGGAGTGAACYGCACCARAGTTCATTTAGAAGCGAACTGAGACCACCTCAAAAAGTGGGTCTCGGTCCGGTTGTTTGATACGCACCGGAGTTCGCATGAGTGTATTCACACCTGCACAAAAGGTCCGGACCAACGCTGGAAACAAACTCTAGTCCTTTTAAAGTGGAGCAAATTATCAGGTGTGAGTACACCCTAACTTGACTATTTCTATTATTTTAAAACTGTTTTTAGCTTTTATTTTAGTTGAATAATCCTGTTGTATGAGATTAGGAACACTAACCATTTTAGTAACTGCACAATCTTGCTTGGGTGAATTTTGGGGTTAAAAAATATAAGTGAACTTTTGTTTCCTTTTTCATTAAGGCTGTGAGCTTCTGTCTTATATTTGTCTGTGCACTTTTACACCCTGGACAGGTCACCAGTCCATGACAGTGCCACATAGCGACTAACAAGACAGAGAACCACACGTGCTCCTACTTTAGCCAATATATGACAATATAAAATTGCCAATGAACCACTAGCATGCATGTTTTTCGACTGTGGGAGGACAACAGCGCATCCAGAGAAAATACAAGCATGTACAGGTAGAACACACAAACTCCACACAGAAAGACAAGGTTTGAACTACCCTGGTCTTTGTATTCCTTTGCAGATTCACTGCTCTGGCTGGGATTTCTCTCATAGACAAGGATTTCTCTGGTAGAGTTTTAACCGGGCCAATCAGCGAACAGTAGGAGGTGTTGTGAACGATGTTGTTGACTTTTTGTGTTGTTTTAGTCTGCCTGTAGTTTAGCAATGAAGTGAATGAAGCCAGTCCGTCTTGACAAGGCTTCCAAACTAAATTTAATCTGTCTCACAAAGCCTGCAGCCATCTCGTTCGGCTCGGTACTTCTCTCCTCTCAGTAGGGGATGGTTGTTTACAGCGCATGCAATTTCCAGTTAGCTTCTTAGCTCAGCTTCCTTCACGGTCAAGCTGTCGCTCTACATWCATCACKGCCAAACGTTAGCAATTGGGTAAATCAGATCCAAACGTTTTAAATTTCAAAAGAGTCCAGGCCTCAAGCAAGAAATCATTTCTCAATAGCCAAGGGACCAGACGGTCTGTACAAAGCAAAGTGTAAAACAAGGGGCTGTTTTTTTTATACCAGGCTAGGTTTAAACACAGCTCTAACCACTACCCCTCATTTTATGGATTTCCATTAATCTGCTATAGTGATCTGCCAATGTGTGAGAAAAAAATACCTTTTGTCATAAAGTGTCCCTGTCATGGGAAGTGCATTGACACAAGGGAGTAGTTTGCCAATACTGTGTACCCACAAACAATGGGCCTTAGTATGCTTGTATATTGTCAGTTACAATTGTTTTCAATCAACCAATCTATCCACCTCTACAGTTCAGCCTTTTAGTTTTTGTGCATTCTCACCAACAAACAACACAAAGATGTAATTGTAACACTGTGATTAAAACCTGAAACTCCTCTACAGCCAGTGTTTAAGGAACCAACAGTAGAAAAAAAACTCATTGAAAAGCTGCAGGAGTGTAAAAAAARGAGGCAGGCAGCAGACTATGAGCAGCAGAATCCCAAGTTCACTCATGTATGTGATAATTACAATGAAGTGGTTGCACAGTGCGAGCCTCCTTCTGGCCATCCCCGCAGTCCACGCTGCCCCTGCCCCTTCCACCTCATCATGAGATCAATTTATATTATGGCATAAGACAGACGCACCAATGAACTGTAACAAGTGGCATCTCTGGAGAGAGCCAGAGCCACACGACTGCCTTAATTAGGCCTGAAAAATGGCAGGTTATTCTATCCCAGCACTCCCTGTTAATCTGTGCTACAGAGCCACACAGTCAACTCTGGCCCCAACTGGCAAATATTATTATTTCATCTTTGTCACAGATGTGAATAGGCCAATGGGCGTGACAACCCAYGGGCAGGGTGAGAATTTTTAACAAAGCTTTAAAGAAAAGCGCACACAGTTAGTAGCCAACTGCTCACTGCTACAGCCACACATACAGTACRCGACAGGAGCCTTTGCATTAATTAGGAATCAGCGAGGTGGCAGAGCACATATCAGACGGGTAATGAGTCCACCCAGTCTGTTTGCTAACAGACAGTCGACACCTAGTTGTAATTCATACTGTGTTTTCACATTCAAATGTCAACCCTCTCCCCTTCCTTTTGCTCTGTATGTTTTTGGGTGTAAATTTCATCATGAAATTTCCATCTTCCCTGCCTTCATTATGCAGTCTGAAGGTGTGATCCCACTGGTRCACTTCAGTGTTGCCTAACAGAAGGTTGTATTTGAATGGGATGGAATAGAAATTGGAATTAGTGGGAAATAAAAGCAAAAACAAGCCTCGCTTGTCTGTGGAGGCAAGTCAGTAGGCGAAGAAGAGGATGACACTTACAGAGGATGGAAGTATGATTTGGCGCTTTCTTTCAGTAAAATAAGACGAACCACTCATGGAAACAATGTCAGGTTTGAAATTCAGCTCTCACAATCTGCTTTGGATGATTTACCTTTAGCTTTGGCACACATTCCTTGTTGAATAATTTGAGATTAGAACTCAAATAAKTTGTTTCAAAAGCATGTTACAATTTACAAGATTTACTGACGTCTCCTGATTTTCACGTMTTAACATAACAAGAAGATGCTTTTCTGACACATTAACACGGTGCATTTTGTATTATCGCTAATAATCTKATTTTACTTTTAGTACCTTCCTAAATTTGCAAACAACAAACCTGTAAACATAAATATGAACTCCTCATTGCCTGAAAGYAAATATTTGTATTTTCAATTAATTAAAACCCCACTGCATTTTTCAACATACAGTATGTAAATCTCGAGGTAAACAGTAGAAATTTGTCTCATCTCGAACACACATTGTGAAAATGTTGGAACCATTTACTGCTGCTGAGTAGAACAAATATTTTCCACAGTGTATTGAGAATGATTTTACTATATCATTAAGTTTACACAAGCTCCAGGCTAAAGTACKTCATTTTCACTGCATAAATTTAAGCTTATATTGACAGAATTCATACGCATCCCATCATCTTTTTCTATGGGTAAGAACAGAGGCTTCTGTCGGCTGCAGCTTCTCATTTTACAATAGAGGAGCCCCTTGGATACACCAAAGGGAGTGTTTGCAGCCCAGCTATCACTGAGGTTAGGTAAGCAATCTGTCGTCAGCTGAGTAATTACAGACCTGCTATACCTTTTCCTCTTGATGATGCTGTCATTGGAAATGGCTGTTGCTAAGTCCCTCAGGCACATAAGATTGTTGAGGAATGAGTTTGTTTTGGTTTTTGTGCTGTAATCTATCAGATGGGGAGTGTACAAACTATCTGCTGAATTTGAAAGTTAAGATTTTTCAAGAACAAATGTCAGAACCTTCTRTTAGGATTATGAACTCAAACAAATCATTCAAGTTAGACTTCAGTTCTAAATAACCAACTGTTTTTGGATTTTGGTACACATGCCACTCATTATTCRCACACTTCTGTTTTTGCTTTATATTCTTTTTTATGTTCAACATCTTTTGTTTTCTATTCTATTTGCAATGCTGCTGCTGCATTTGAATTTCCCCAATGAGGGTCACTACAGTCTATTCTATTCTATTCTATTTTATTCTATTCTATTCTTATTTTGAAACAGTGTTTATTCCAGCAGTGGTAATGAATCTTTGCCTAAAATTTGAGCAGGCCCCAAATACCACACAAACTCAATGCGGAAACAAACATACAGTATAACACTTAGAAAACCTGTATTACTGTATGGTCAAGCAAAATACATAAAAGAACAAAAAAAATGGCCTTTCATCTTTGTAAATGAAATCATTTGCTGTTTTTGCTCACCCACCCATGAGCATAATGACAAACAACTTTGAAATATGAATGCAAATAACATATTTAAATGGCCTAATAGCCATTTCCAATAAAATGCATCATTCTGATCAATTGTGCTTATTCAGGTCCACACGCCTCCTTTAGACTTTGCCTCTGATTGTATTTTCCAAATGCCAAGAGCTGACAAATCACCGCCACAAACACACAAGTCATTCGGCAACAATGGGGCCAAATGCTTGGGGGAAATGTGATGCATGGACACAGCTTCTTTCCTGGTCTTTTATTTCTAGAGAAAATTTCCATGCCCTGATATTGCACTGGTTGCTGTTGCATAATATAATACATTTTCTGCCCTGGTTCCCTGCACCATGATCATTTAATTACACTGGGCAATGGTAAGTCCAGTTTCATCTAGAGTAGAAAGAGAATAAAAGAAACTCCTCTAATGAATGGCAACACCTACAATCCCTGCTATTAAATCTTGAGGTTGTGTCTCCTAATAATGATGTTTTCAACCTAGCATCCTAAGCTGCAAAGTGGAAACTGAGCACAGTACAGATGTTGTGAGGAACAGGAGATTTTTAATGGCTGTGAGAATCAGCAGGCTGTCTTTGTGTGTCAAGCTTCAAATGAAAGAAGAGAAAGGGGGAAGAAAAAGGAAGTGTGCTCAATCAGCTAGATGTTTCTGGGTCTTACCTGGCCTGGCATGGCATTTTCACACAGGACAGTGTCATAGTCTTCGGCAAAAACCGGGGCATTGTCATTTATGTCCAGCACTGTGATGAGAGTGATGCCTTTACCAATTTGAGTTGGATCCTCTGTAAAAGACAAATCACAGAAAGAGCTTGCTCAGTTCTCAGGTTTATAAGAAGCTTTCTCTGCATCTACTTTATTTTGGTTTGGCTGTCATGTATGATGTTATCAAACTGCTGGTAAAAGATTTTTTTCCCCCATGTGTGTTATTGAATCACGAAGAAGATAGTAAAAAGCACTTCTGGAAAAGCACGGCATCATTCCCCTCTCTGCTGCGAATCAGACTAAATGATTAGAGTCGGTGAGGGCTTGTTGTCAGGGAAAGTTGTGTGTGTGTGAACAAACCGTCTTGCAGCTAGGGCTTCACGCCTTTGTCTGCTTGACACACACTGACGGTTAAATGGCTGTGTCTGAGAGCAAGACGATGATTTAGCCTGGCGTCGCCATGATGCCGGCCAGAGATGACGCTCTGACATTCGGGCCAGTTGATTTGATGGCGATAAAAAGGGCGCGCAGAGCCTCGGGCCACAGACTTGTTGTCATTGGCATGGTCTGGGAGCAGCGCATGAAATGTGAGTGACTGCCGCTCAAATTCACAACATCCCTCTGCCAAACAGTCCCTGCGCTCTTTTTTAGCTACAGAGAACCCATTTACTATAAATACTGGCATAAGGCAGTACAGGGCAGTGCATACTGTTGCCAGTCCTTCAACTCAGAGATGTTTTCAGCTGAAAACAGTGCGTGAGTGTCACAATGTGTCAGAAGTCAGTACCTCATGCATGAGGGGCTGTTGTGACATTTCATATGGCTTTTATTATATCCTGCTTTCTCTTTGTTGCTATATCTGGCAAGCAGTCATACTCAAAATCAACCAAGGAGTACACTTTTGTGCTCAGMGATGTAAATAAAAACACAGCTTTGAAGCGAAGAAACAAAAAAGCTTTGATAAAATAAAAAAAYGAATACCCTTTTTCACACAGCGTTCAGTTTCAAGATGTTGATGCAGAACAAGTGCCAGTCAGAAAGGCTGGTTGTCTTTTTTAACTCATAGTAGTGTGACGTATCTGTCTCAAGTGCTCAGTGGATTGTGCGCTGATGAGTGTTGGTCACTGGGTTTGCGTGACGGCAGAAAAAATGATGGGAATGCAAGAAAGGGAGAGAGAGAAAAAAACTAGGTGTTCATGTCCTTGTAGCATTGAGAGATGAACAAAAAGGCACGCGGCACTATTTCACATCACATTAACATTGTTCACCCGTGGGTGAGACCAGCCGCCCTTAGTCAGCAGCTCGTCCCCACGACTCAGGGAGACATGGAGGTCAAAATGACCGTCCTGTGTGTAAATTAACATTCCCTGACAGTCGTGCATCAACCCCACAGCTCTGTGCCATACTATCCACCGTACAACGAACTGATGTGCGTTAGAAAGTGGAAAAGGGAAGAGCTTAACTAAGGTTTGTTAAAGCCAAACATTTCTCTGATTTACAAAATATTATTAAAAAAATATGCATGGTCAACATGGCTGTGTCGTCCCAAAACAAAAAGCATGAAATAAAAAATGGATTTGTAATGCTTGTTAGGGACTGACGGACAAATTCTGAGGATAATCTAGTGTTTCTGTTAAGTAAWGTTCAAATAGTTAATAATAAATAGTCCCTAAATAGTCCCTCATCAGCTCTGACATTGATAACAGAGCATGAAATGGGCAAACATCTTTGTCCATGCTAGGCTAATGACTAGCTAAACAACGGYCTGTTTTAAGTGTTTTTCAAGCTAAAAGTTGCATTTCACAGTCAGTCTTTTTTCATGTTTACAAGTAGTTTGAGGTAATCCCCGTCGTATCACAAAAACTAGAAATACAGTACATTAAGGAACGTCTATTTTGTCTCAAGTGTTTTTGTGAGTAAAAATACAATTTTCTAATTTTGTAACATAAATTGACATAAATTCAGTTCCATGAAAAGATTAAAAAGCAGTACAATACAGTACAGTAAGAGACACATGTGCCCTGTGTCCACACTCAGCCTGGAGAGTATGTACTAATAGTTCACTGTACAGTACCATGTGGTTAGTAGCTGCTAACTGTTTAGCTCTTGTGTGTTTTTGTTTGGTTCTTACTGCATTAATATGCCACCCCAAACACACATTTGATATTTCAACACATTCTCACTCTCAAGTCGTCACATACTGACGCTTTTCCAAGGTTCCCTCTGCGTCCAATTTTGACGAGATAGGGCAGTTATCCGTTGTCATAATTTGAGAAAGTGTAGAAAATGTACAAAAACTACCGTCCCAAAGCCTAAAATTACCTTTATTCACTTTAGACATCCTGTCCCTGACCCTAGTACCTAAAATTAACCATTAATCCTGATCCCTAAAATCAACCATTTTTAGAAAATGTAGGAAATTCACGTCAACTATGTGTTCCAAAGCCTAAAATTACCTAATATTCGCCGTAGACATCCTGTCCCTGACCCCAGTACCTAAAATTAACCATTAATCCTGACCCCTCATGTTAACCTCAGACCCCCAACCCAAAGACCCCTGGTGGCGCAACCTGGAAAAGCCGCGAGCGGCAAGGATTGATGCGAGGGGGTTACCCGACGCGTCAAAATTAGACGCAGAGGGAACTTTGGAAAAGCGTCAATATGTTGACAAGTCGGGAGTGAGAATGTGTCAGATATTTATGTTTGTTCAGGATTCGCGGATACTCTATAAGAACGCAACACCTGCAAAAATTGGGGCTTCACTGTATTGAACCCCACTTTGTTGCCTGACACTGTATGTTTAGTCTGTGTGTGTTTTCTCAGCTGAACAACGTTCACGTCGCTGTGACATTTATGTGTGCCGCGCATGGTCCATGTGAAAGTTGGTGTCCTCATGCTGCTGAAAGTCATATCAGTCCACCAGCAGTTGAGTTACTGATAAATATCTGAAAACACATTTCATCAAAAAAATTCCCAGACTATCCCATCAAGACCACCCAATAAAGAATTAGGTAACTTGAATAGAACTATCTTTCACATAATTGATGAAACAGTCCTTTGGCTGACCACCCAATTGTGAAGCCAAATTAAAGTAATCTTATGAAATATCAAGTCATATAAACTAAGCAGAATAGACTCATTCCCTTTAATTGGTTTGAAGTAAAAAAAAAAAAAAAAAAAAAAGAATTGGCTGAATGTGTTTTCAGCAGGGGGCAATTCTGGCTTCATTCTATATGGTTCTAATAAAGAGCACAATAGTCGCTTAATGGAAACAATCTGGATTAAGCCTTTCCATCTCATCTAATGGCTATCAGTTTTTTTATTTTAAAAACCTGCTAACCTGGTAAAAAAGAAAAATAAAGTTCTGATTATTGTCATTTTTAATTAACAATCTTTTTAATTTGAGGATCAAAAAAACTTTTAAAGGAAACAAGCATGAATAAATCAGACAKAATATTGGGGTGGAGGTGTCTTTAAGGCAGCACATGTTCCTGTGTGGAAACAATTAAAATAAAATTAAAAACTCTGTCAGTTAATTTATTGGTTATATACACCACTCTCACTCTTCTATGTGAAGCTGCTCAAATTTATTTCAATTGTAGGATATGGAGTATAAGAAGTGTATTTCATCTAAAATTAAAAGCTGGCCGTCTAAACAGGGATTTTTTTCCAACTGTTGCAAATGAAGGAACTAGAAATAAAATCTATTTAGGGACTTTTTTTGTTGATACCTCTATGTTCCATGAACATTCAAACAGCAAATCCTGAAGATATTGAGAAGTACATTATAAAATGTAGAAATATTTAAAAGTCTAAGTATCCGGTTGGACTTGAAAGTATGATTTGTCAGCAAATTATAAATCATRAGAAGATTTTCTAGTTGTAAACAAATATATAAACAATATAAAATATTTTGTTTAGTTTCTTATTGTGTGCTGATGTCTTTTGCACGTGACAGAATCATGTTGTTGATGCAGTATACAGTCACAGTTTTAAAACACATATAAACAGCCAGATATGAAGGTAATTACCTTTTTTAATAAGCTTTAATTCAGCAAACAAATTTACTTTACCACATATCAGCCAGATGTGCTAATAAGTGCAGTTTTATCAAAGCAGATATAAACTGTTGTGTGACAAAATATTTGCCTGTCAACCCTTTTTAAAATTCAGAATATTACAAAACGTGTAAAAATGAACACCTTAACTTATCTACACTCCGTGTTTAAAGCAACTAAAGTATGGATGCACAAGCATTATTCAGTGAAGGATTTCAAACATCTGATTTGAGAGTATGCCATAGGCTGGTGGTGAACTTACGGCTCTCAGTAGCGAAGATGGTGAGGTTATGAACAGAGCTGGCTTCTCGGTCCAGAGGCTTGGCTGTGCTGATGACCCCGTTCAGAGCATCCACATTAAAGAAACGATCCATGTCTGTGTTCCTGTCAATGGAGTACCTGGAGAAAAATACACGTCCACACTCATTATTGATAAGCTTAAAAATACTTTCACCCATATTGATTTAACATTTTAAGTATAGCAGTTTCTTTAACCAGTAAGAAAATATTATGATTATGTCCTTTTCCATCAATATGCGGGGTGCTGAAACATTGAACTTCATTCAGGCATTAATAARCTGCACTCACACTCCATCTGACACACAATATATTTTTAACTATTCTCTAAACAGAATAGACATTCAAAAAGAGCAGAAATTGGAACTTAATAGCATGTGTGGAACAAAACCTTATTAAACTTTAATAAAACTGAAAAGCTGTCCCTCAACACATAATACATACTGAGCCCTTTCATTATACACAAAACTCATATTTCTAGAGAAAAATGCAACCTCAATTAGTATACATCCAAAGGGGTCTCATTGCAATGTAATTTGACTCTTGTGGCTGCATTAGTTCCACAGTAATTTTAATTCCAGCAGATGTAGTGACATAAATTACTGATTCTGATAACAGTCACAGGGGCAAGAAAAAGGCAATTTACAGCTACAATAGTGCAGTAATTAGATTTTCTGATTAAGATTACKAACAATCCTAACAGACCAAGCATGAATACTAAACAATACTCTTTCAATTAAGGCAGAATGTGTTGGGATCTTGAGCGCGACACTGCACAGACTGACAATGTAAGTGTTTGTTTTTTGAGTCATAAATGCCATGGTGCAAAAGTCAGGCTTTGACCCTCCTGCAGGAATGCCCTTCTCTTGTTCAAGATGGCATTTTACTTTTGCAGTTGTAGCACTCCTTGGCCCAACCACCATCTGGTACTGTCTTTGTGACAGCAGCATGGAGACTCCCAAGGGTCTGTGGAGTCTGTGTTTGGAGGGAACGTGGAGTAGCTAAATGAACAACCCCTTTATTTTAGTTTTAGAGTATTTGATATATTTTTTCCACAATTTATTTTAGTACACAGTTTGTTAAAAAGGAACAGTAGYGTCAATTGTTCGCTTTTTACCTCTGCATTCATCCTATCCAATACGCTCCTTAGAACACATTTTGATGTCACCTCTCTGAGTACATACAGGTGTAACAGCTTCTTGACAAAGTGTTATGGTTTCTTCTAAATATTAAGGTCAAAGGGATGCATGTAAGGGTGGCAACAACACTAGAAAATGGTACTCAATATCAGCTTTATTGTATTTGAAGAAGCAGAATGCATGTCGTCTTTTGTACCTGATTGTGCTATGGGGGGTATCTGGGTCATGGGCAGATACTCTCCCAATTGAGAAACCCACTCTGGCATCTTCTGAGACAACCATCTTGTTAAATCGCGTGGAGAAGACGGGAGGCTCGTTCACATCCTCGACCGTCACCTTGACTGACGTTGTGTCGCTAAATGGGCCCAAGCTTAAGAGGTTGGAGTCAATATTCCTGTTTGTAGCTTCAATTCTTAGTGCAAAGCCGCTTTTTGTCTCGAAGTCTAATGGCTAAAAAAAAACAGAAAAAACAAAATATTTATTTTTTATGTAAAACATAACAGGTGGCTATATAATAATAAACATGAAAATGCTGAATTTCTGTGGTTAAAACATTTTAAAATAATTTGCAGTAGCAACTCTAAAAACTTGTGACAGTGAAAGACAGAGTTAAAAAKTAGTAACTTTATTATATGAAAGCAGTACCATTGATTATATGACWAGCACAATACATGGTTAAAATCTCTCCAGGATAAATTCTGTTTAAATATTTCTAATTAGCARCATATAATATACCAAGCAGTTTGATTGGACTCTTCCATTGTCAAACATTTTCTATGTTGTGATTATCCGAATTTGGTGCAAAACAAACAAAGAATCAGATTGGTCAATCTGACAAGAACAGTTTGTGCTACACAGTGACTGTAATTTCTACAAAAGTGTGAAAACAATGRACTGTCACAAGTGTGTGGCTTGGGGGAGAGCATTTCAAGACTAAAACCCTGAAATTTGATCTGTCACTCAAAAGATCTCAAGCATGCAGAACTGAAGTCAGAATATAGTTTGAAAATTGTTTATAGTAGAAAACTACAAGGCCTTGTTTAATCTGAATTAATTCACTTGGTTAAATGTTTCCGTACTACTCACTTCCACCATCTGCTGTAGGTTTRTATATAAAACCCCTGAGTCACATGTTATGTTGGACTGAACATGTTTTTAGTGTCATGATTATCTTTAATAACACAAATGTACACAAATAATCCAAACCTTCGATAATAAACTGCTGTCACAAACTAAATAGCAGGTATGTACTAAAGATACTTACTTGTAAATCTTTTCATACGCATTGCTTTACTGTCTTCTTTTATTTATTTATTTATTTATTTATTTATTTATTTAGAATTTTACTTGTACATTCATGCAACATACTGTAAACACTATTGGGGTACCAGTTATCTCTGAGTGAATGCTTTTCAAAATCAAAGCTAAATTCCACACACGTAGGTTCCCTTTTTTAAAGCTCTTTCAAAAGTGTTATTTGAGTAGCCRTAAATATTGCATTTGTTGGGGACTWTTTCATCTGTGAAATAACACTACTATAAAATAATTTACAGCACTTGCCTGAGTTCATCAAGAAGCATGTCACTGAGAACTATTGAAATTGATAGCTTCTGTTTTAGTACTGTATGTGCAACAATGATACAGAATAGTATCAGATTTTAGCTAAACATTAAAAAAAAACATTTATTATCATGGATTGTAATCCTCCATACTCAGCCAACCTTTTTTGTACAATATTATTTTACATTTAGAAACAAAACTTCATATGAAATAAAACATGTGGAGTCAGAGATGAGTATCTATTGCAAAACACAGGCTTAAGTGTAGATCTGTTTTGAGAGTTCAGTACTCTTTATGGTTCTGAGCTGTGACTCTGTACTCCTCACAGCTAAAACTGGGATTTTATAACAACCTGCTTATTATTCAAGCTGTACCTTGTGCAGGATAATAACCCCCTCTTGCGTGTCTTCATCTGTTGTTATGTTGAACATGCCAGGACCGTCGCTRTCCATAATTCTGTAGTCCATCTCTGCATTGGAGCCTATGTCAGCATCTGCTGCTTTGATTCTGGCCACCACAGATTGGACTGGCAGTGACTCCAGCACCGTGTACTGATAAATCTCTGGAAAAAAAAAGGGGGTGGAGGTTTGTAATAGAAATTTCCATTTGCTGGAATTAAACTAATGGCAGGAGCAATAACAACAAAAGAGAAAAAAATGTTTTTTGTTTCTACTTTAATTTGAAAGGAATGAATAGCATCTTTTAAAATAAAGTTTTTGCCTAGCCTCAGTTTGGAGAAATATTGATTAGTTTTGACCTGCTTGATGAGCTAATGGTGCACCCMAGGATAAAGACCAAAGTGGAAACCTGCCACCTTAAAACATCTCTAAACTTTAAAATTTCAGAACTACATTTAAAGTTATTGCTGCTGCTGCTATTTGCTCTTGCAAATACCCATGGATTTCTGTGCTAATTTATTTGGATTTCTTTGTTTCTATTGGACTGGACAAAAGTCACATGTGGGGTATCCCAAGGTTCAATCCTAGGACCCCTCTTATTTAATATCTWTATGCTCCCTCTAACTMCAGTTATAACAGGAAATAGGATTAGCTACCATGCAGATGATACACAGGCCTACATTACGATGTCACCAGTTGCTGCAATGTGCAATACAAATACACTTGATTGATTAAATACATGCAAAGCAAAACAGATGGTTAAAAAATTAACATTTGGAAGAAATGTGCTAAATATTTTTTGAGATGTTTTAAGATGAAACAAACATGTTGTTTTTTTGGGAAACAAACAGATTTTTTTCATCCTAAAACAATATMTTTCGGTCTTGGCCTTGCTCAGACATTAGCCATTAGCCCTTTTGCCTGGTCAGAGAAAAAAATGTTTTATTTTTTCAAGCGGCGGTGGTTCAAAGTGCAGTCATCAAGAGCAAATATGTCAGTTGTTCATAACTGTTCAAGAGGAACCTAAGTCTGAAGATCTGAAGAAAGCAAAATCAATATTAATTTTCAGTTTTCTCTAGGTTTTACCTTTTAAAATCTCTAAAGAAATTTTCCAATTTTCRTGTGCTCTTAGAAGCTGTCCAAAAACAGTAAAAAGAAAAGAACAACAGGAGTCATGTTTCAACCCCTTTGTTACAGTTCACAGAGTGAAACGTCCACTCACAAATTCTATTACTCCAAAACTCTCCATTGTGTTCTGCAGGCTTTTGTTTGACCCCCCTGAATTTAAAGTACTCTTATAAGAATAAAGAAGGGAATCATATTCATAATCATAATCTCCCCAATCACCATGGCAGAGCTCATTACTAGACCTTTCTGTGTTCCTCCGTGTCTCCCTCAGCCACCGTCTAAATGCTAATCTGCCTGACATTGTTTGCCACCATGTAATCTTTATAATGGCTTTTTAATATGCCATGGAATAGCAGCTCTTTAAAAGAAAAAAAAAAATCCCTTCCTATTATCCCTGCCCAAAAACCTGCCATTTCACACAGCAAACCTCCCCATCCCTGCCCCCAAAACCCCACCAACTAACCGTTGCCCCCGTATTCTGTCTGCTCTGATGCGCCATAATGGTGTATCGATTCTGACCCATGACCTCATGAGCACAACAGCAGGATCCAAACCCAGAACTCCTTTAAAGTCTCTTTCTTCTCACTGTGGCAGAGCCGGGTTAAAACGACACAGATGACTTGTTGTGCAAACTTGAATCTTTCTTTCCCCCTAGGGACCAGCAAATTGACTCGGCTCCATGGCAGTCCAGTGGCGAACACACCAGCTAGACAGCGGTTGGGCTATCAGTGGTAAACCGATTGCCGGTGCTTTGGATTATCATGAGAAGCACCGCATGCCTTTGAATTCCTAAAGCTTGCCCTGGAACCCATTAGCAGAATGTGAAATAGGCTGGCAAAAAAAAAAAAAAAAAGAGCCTGATTGATCCTGGTATCCAAGGCCGGAGCAGACAGCAGGCTGCTCTGATGAAGAATGAACCTGGGAGGTGCACACATTGCAGAAAAGCTGTTTTTTAATTTGCTTGTAAAAATCCAAAATATTTGCTGCAAATACAAAATATGCCAGTTAGAAAACTAGTGAGAAAAAGTTGATTTAAATTGTACTTTGGTTTTAACAGGCAACTTTCTTTTATCAAACATTAGAGAAATCATTCTTTTTACTGTTTTGCTATTTTTTTTAAAGATTTTTTCATGATGAAATAACATCCCAGGCTTTTTGTAATATTGCCCTCATCAAGTACACTCATTTGGTTCTCTTTGTTTTAAGTGGTCTTTCAGTGATATTAGATMTCAAGAGCCATATTGAGATCGAAAAAAAAACTATATGGTTTGACTGATTGCTAAGTAGATGCTGATCATGGTATATTACATACATGTAATCACACCACGTGGAGGTAATCAGGAAAATGTGTCTTACTGTGCGCGAACCGCGGTGGATTATCATTGACATCGGTAAGTGTGACAGTGACGGAGGTGGTGCCGGAGAGGCCGCCCATTTGGCCCACCATGTCTTTGGCCTGAATGACCAGCACATACTGGTCTCTCGTCTCCCGGTCCATGTTGGGCAAAGCTGTTCTGATGACACCTGCAAAAACAGAGTCAGAGAAGGGGACAAAGATGATTCAAAAATCTCATTTTAGTTTTTTGTTTGTTTGTTTGTTTTTGCTTTCAACCAACACTCTCAGTATACCTTTGCAATATATACTGTATATATAAAACTCCAGAAATGAAGTTATTTGTAATAATGTGGAATGGCACAGGAAAAAAGTATTAAACATATGAAGAAAGGGAGGTGTAAAAAGGCATGGAAAGHCAAGACACCAGCTGAACTCTCTCAGTAATTAGAAAGCAAGCTTGCCCCTTGTCAGTGCAAATTAATATCAGTTGGTTCAGTCCCAACTGATGGCCAGGTATCACACAAAAACCATCTGATGATGGGTAAAAGTAAAGAGCTCTCTCAAGACCTTCACAACCTTATTGTTGCAAAGCATAATGATGGCATCGGTTACAGAAGAATGTCTAAACTTCTGAAGGTTCCAGTGAGCACTGTTGGGGCCATAATTTGAAAGTGGAAAGAACATCATTTCACCATAAACCGACCACGACCAAGTGCTCCTCGCAAGATTTCTGACAGAGGAGTGAAAAGAATTATCAGAAGAGTTGTCCAAGAGCCAAGGACCACTTGTGGAGAACTTTAGAAAGACCTGGAATTTGCAGGTATGAATGTTTCAAAGAAAACAATAAGTAATGCACTCAACCGCCATAGCCTGTGTGCACCCTCACCACGCAAGACTCCACTGCTGAAGAAACAGCATGTTGAAGCTCCTTTAAAGTTTGCTGCACAACATTTAAACAAGCCTGTGAAATTCTGGGAGAATATAGTCTGGTCAGATGAGACCAACATTGAACTGTTTGGATGCCAGAATACACATCATGTTTGGAGGTCAAATGGCACTGCACATCAGCCCAAAAACACCATACCAACAGTGAAGTTTGGAGGTGGGAACGTCATGGTGTGGGGCTGTTTTTCAGCATATGGTACTGGCAAACTTCAAATAATTGAAGGAAGGATGAATGGAAAAATGTACCGAGACATTCTTTAAAAAATCTGCTTCCATCTACCAGGATGATGAAGATGAAACGTGGCTGGACATTTCAGCAAGACAATGAGCCCAAACACAAAGCCAAGGAAACTCTCAGTGGGTTTCAGAGAAAGAAACTAAAGCTGCTGGAATGGCCCAGCCAATCACCTGACCTGAATCCAACAGAAAATCTATGGAAAGAACTAAAGATCAGAGTTCATAGAAGAGGTCCACGAAACCTTCAAGATTTGAAGACTGTTTTTGTGGAAGAATGGGCCAAAATCACACCTGAGCAATGCATGCCACTAGTTTCCCCATACAGGAGGCATCTTGAAGCTGTCTTTGACAACAAAGGCTTTTGTACAAAGTATTAGATAAATTTCAGTAAGTGTGTTCAATACTTTTTCCCTGTGTCATTCCACATTATTTCAAATAACTTCATTTCTGGACATTTATGGTTTGATTTCTTTGTATGTATGGATCTCTTGGGTTGTTACTGACATCAGGTGAAAATTTCATGACATTAGCACCTCTAGTAATATATTTACTGAGAAAAATGGTGACGTGTTCAATACTTATTTTACCCGCTGTATATATATATATATATATATATATATATATATATTTACATTATTTATCACCCTTTATTTAACTGGGCAAATTCCATTGAGATCATTTGCAAGGGAGGCCTAGGCCTGAAGGCAATCTAATGGTTTTTGGTCTGTGGGGGAAACTGGAGTAGCTACCCATCAGTGTGTGAATGTGTGGGAGAATGACTGTTGTGTAAAGCACTTTGGGGTCCGATGGGGCTTGATAAAGCACTATAAGTTCAGTCCATTTACCATTCCATTTACCCAGAAGAAAACATGCAAGCACAAGAACATGCCAACTCCAGGTCCAAACTGGGGATCATACCCAGGACCTTCTTACTGTGAAGCATCAGTTCTAACCAATGAGCTGCCGTGCTGCCCAAAAATATCTATCAACAGCTGGATTTAGGCATTTACGGTTAAGTTTTCAGACCTGATGATATCCATTTGGGTATCCAATTGGGTACAATTGGGCCAATTGGGCACAATTAAGTTAAACTTTACATGACCCCCTTTCCAACACACATGTAGATGCAGGGAATTCACACAAACTAAACTGACAATATAAATGAATATTACACAAGTAAATAAATAAAAAAACAATGGATGACTTAATGTAAAAAAGATAATCATGAAAGCAGTGAGAGTTTAGAAAAAAAAACAAAATCATAAACTAAAATGAATAAAATAGAGCAGTCTAATGAATGTTGTACATAAGGTGACAAAAAGAAGGACAAGTAAAAGTACTATTAACATATTAATATAAAAAGCAATTGGTAAATAGACTATAGGCTATTCAGCACCTTTTTAGCCAACCAGGCTACTCAAAGTGCTTTACAAAACAATCTGTGCCCTCATTAACCCATCTACAAACACATTCATACAGCACTCTACTGCATCTATTCAGAGCTAATTTGGACAAATCATTCTATATAGTGTAATCAATGCTTTAGATCACATTCATTCACCAATGGGACACACACCGGAGGAAATGATGGATTCATTGTCTTATCAAGGGACAAGTGGAATAGAACCTACAGTATTCTGACTGGAGAACAGCAGCTTCAACCACTGAGCCACAGCCATCCTCAACAAAATTATAACATATTTACCATTTTACAGGTGAAAACTAAAGGTGAAAATCTATAAGAATCTATAAGAAAAGTGACAAAATTTATGTCTTCTTTTCTAAAACTTTCATATTTTTAGTGTTTAGCCTGAGGTTTAAAATCTCCACTGGGGCCAATACAGTATGCGTTAAGCTTCTCTGAGATAATAAATATTGCTTATAAGTATATAACGATGTGTGACTGGGGAAAACATTTCAACAATGCCCTTTAGTTGTTAAAATTGCTTCGTAAACTACATAAAGTTATTTGACACCACTGAACACATCACATCATTTAAGACGGCAGAAGAMAGTTAACACCAATTCTTTAACTAAAGAAGAAAATAATAAAAAGTGAATGTCCACAATGGCTGTTGCTGTGTTTACAATCAATTCACTGTCTTCTGTGCCTGAAAAGTGCTGTCACTCCAAATAGTTTAATAGTTTGATGCTTGATGAGGCAAATGCTAAGACATTGTCAGAAAAGGGAGCGGAAGCAAGGGGACACTTTTGCCGCCAGGGAAGGAATCATCTGTCTGTCGCCATGTCATGATTGAATACTCTCAGAAATAAAT